GGTCATATGATAATTCTATTCTTAATTGATTTGGGAACCTCCATTCTGTTTTCCAAAATGTCAACACAAATCTACATTCCCACCAATGTGTACTAGTGTTCACTTTTCTCACACCCTTGCCAACATTTGTTATCTCTTACTTTTGATTTTTATTTTTTGCTGCCTCCCCGTCAGGAAATCAAACCCCAGTCTCTTATTTTTTTTTATGATAGCCATCCTAACAGTTGTGATGTGCAAATTTTTTATTAAAGAGGAGCAACTAAGGGGTGATTGGTTGGTGTGGTAGGTGGTATTGGACCAGCCGGCTTACCCATTGTCTCATCACATGAGCTTTGATCTCTTCCCAAGAGTTACATAGCATATTTAATAAATTCTTGGAGTCCTCCTGTGCACCAGGCTTTGAGATCAAACACAGTTTTCCTTATATGGAGCTTGCAGTGTCTAGGGCTAATGCTCAAAATCCTCTCCTCCCTGGACTGTTGGCAATCATTTTTTCTCAGATTTTTGTCTGACATCTCTCTGTGTGACTTCTGGAGGGATCTTTCTTTTCTTTTTTTTTGGAGACAAACTTGCTGTGTCACCCAGTCTGGAGTGCGCTGGTATGATCTCGCCCCACTGCAACCTCCACCTCCCAGGTTCAAGTGATTTTCTTGCCTCAGCCGCCCAAGTAGCTGGGACTACAGGCATGTGTCACCACATTCAGCTAATTTTTGTATTTTTAGTAGAGACAGGGTTTCGTGCTGTTGGCCAGGCTGGTCTCTAACTCCTGACCTTGGGTAATCCACCCACCTCGGCCTCCCAAAGTGTTGGGATTACAGACGTGAGCCACTGCGCCTGTATTCTTTTCCTTTTTCTTTTTTTTTAATTAATAGTTCTTTTTCTGACTAATAAAAGAAACATGCTTATTAAAAAAAATTTGGAAAAATGACAAGAGTATAAACATAAATCATCATCTAGACATACTCAATGTTGAAATTTTGGTATATTTTCTCCTAGACCCTTTTAAAAATAGTATAGTTAATCATAGAATACTAGTTTAAGTTCTATTTCTCTTTACTGTCATATCAGAGACATTGTCCCAAATTATGAAAGTTTCTTTGGAACATTAAGAATGACATTTCTAAGACTTAAATCAAAACATGTCTTTTCCTGTTTACAACTGTCCCATCATTAGTCTGAGAAGGTAAAGTTTCTACTTCTTTATTTTAATTTTAATTTTTTATTTAATGGAGATGGTGTCTCGCTGTGTTCCCCAGGCTAGTTTCAAACCCCTGAGCTCAAACAATCCTCCCACCTCAGCCTCCCAAAGTGCTGGCATTAGAGGGGTAAGCCACCATTCCTGGCCAAGTCTCTACTTCTTAATGCCATGCAGACAAGGTTCATTATGATCTGATCCCTACAGACTTCTCTAGAATTCTCTTTTCACTCCTCACCTTCTCCTTTAACACCTGCTCATGCAGACTCACAGAACACATAGTTCCTTGCCAACCCCCTTCCCTCACACTGTACTCTGCCCACACCAGGCTACTTTCACCTTCCCAGGCTGCCCCATGTCACTTGCTCCTTCACCCTATACTCACAGTGCTGATCCTGTCTGGAATGTCCTCCCATTGGCACATCCAGTGAAACTCTTCATTTATCCTTACTCAGTTCAAACATTCCCTCTTCCGTTAAGTCTTCTTTCCTTCTCCACCCCACCACAGAGCCACCTGCTCCTTTTGTTCTTCCTCCATTGTACCCTGTCTCTCTAAAACAATGCCCATTTTGTCTTAGCTTATGGAGGGTAGGGAGCTTTGCCTTATTCATCCTCATTTCTCCAGCACTTTGCAAATATTTAGCATGTAGTAGATGTTCAATAAATATTTGCCTGAATTCAAATCAGTGATTACCATACTATGTGATGAATGCTGTGCAGGGAGTATGTAAAGAGTGTTTATAGGTGCCCAGAGGAGGGGCAGGTTATGAGTATATGATCCCAGAGCCAATGCCCAGGAAATATGCTCATTTTAAATATGGGGATGACCTTCCTCCATTCTTCATCACATATTTGAATCTATTTGCATTTCTATTCCCCAACCTTGGACCGACTATGGGAACATTTGTTGTTCCATCCCCATATGCCTTTTCCTTTGTCCTCTGAGACTGTTTGGCCCCTGAACTCCAGTTGGGGCAGAAGTCCTCACTATGGCAGAAACCTGGCCACCACTGCCTGTTTTCTTTCAGGAACAGTACAGACAATTTTAGGTCAACCCTAGTTGCCCTTAGCTGGAGCTCAGTATCCCAACTCTAGCTTAGGTAGCTAGGTCTTCAGGGGCAGTCACTCTTGAATTTTACTACAAGCACTAAAGTCAAACCCGCTGTTTTAGGCAGACTGCCTAGCATGTAGCTTAAGCCAAATTCTTTCTTTCTCTCGTCCTTCTCTCACTGTTGCCATCCCAGAGAGTCCTCCCCTGGAGACAGCTTGGGCTGCTTTGCTCATAGAACAGGTCAGGTAGAAGGAGATGAAAGTATTTCCCCATTTGACATAATGGACTTCTCAGATGTTCATTGTTCTATAGAAAGGTTGAAAGTGGACCACACAAAGCTGGATGCTCCATGGGAGTGCCTATGGGCAGAGATGTCACCCTGGGAAGGGGCAGGAGCACAGAGGAGAACACTGAGCAGAAATCCACTAGAGGAAAGCACTCATTTCTTTTAAGGGCAAAGAGATGGAACTGTGAATGAATTTCAGTAACATCTAATGGTCAAGCAAGTCTATAAACCAAGACTTGTTTCCCAGGCATTGCAGTCACCATGCTACACTCAACAGGCTGCAGAACAAAGGCTGAAACAGGACAATGGGGAGAAAGAAGGGGAAGTAAAAGGCATGTAATCAGATCAATCACCAGCTGGGCTCATCTGCCCGGAAGTCTGTCTCTGGTGATGGCACCAGGAGACATATCATTGGAAAGCCTGCCTGTGTGCTTGGTTGTCAAGCCTCAGCACCAGACACTCTCATTTCCTTAATAGCAGGTTACAGATCCTGTATCTATAAATTTCACTAAACCCTTCTTGACCTTTCCATATTTTTAGTCTATGCTGCTGCTCTGGATATAACAACGTCCATGACTGATTACTTGTTCTGTGAATACCTTTATCTGAAGTTAAAAGAAATTATCTCTCTTGAGTTTGAAGACCCTGTCCTCTTAGTTCCAGTTTCTAGTGTTGGTAACAAATTCATATGTAGCCCTGGGCACATTTTGTCAGTTTGGGGGTGGGGGGGTGGAAGAAGTTTGATATCTCTACTTAGTGTTATGTTTTTCAGATTCAAGTCTTTATATTCTCCATCTTTTCTTATACAGTGGCCCATCAGGAACCTCATTTCACTTTTTATTTCTCTGGACCTTTCTTTTCTACCTCTGTTTAGCCTATGTTAAAATAGAGCAACTAAGAGCATTGTGGCAAATACTCCAAGTGCAGCTCACTGAGGCTAGGCTGAAGCTTTTACTTCCTACTACCTTTTTGGGCTGCTCTTTTTAAAATCTTTGTGACTTTAACCTTAGGGCTAATGTTTTCAAAAACTACTAAATGAAACTGTTTCTGTCAGCAGCAGTGGCTTATTTAGACAGGCATCTTGTAACAGCAGTTTAGGGCCAGGCACGGTGTCTTACACCTGTTATCCCAGCACTTTGAGAGTCTGAAGTGCAAGGATCACTTGAGCCTAGGAGTTCAAGACCAGCGTGGGCAATGTAATGAGACCCTGTCTTTCCAAAAAAAAAAAAAAAAAAACCTGATTAGCTGGATATGGTGGTGCATGCCTGTCACAGCTACTCAGGAGGCTGAGGTGAGATTGGTTGAGCCTAGGAGGTCAAGGCTGCAGTGAGCCATGAGCCTGGGAGATTAAGGCTACAGTGAGCCATGATTGCACCACTGCACTCCAGCCTGGGCAATAGAGTTAGACCCTCTCTCCAAATAAATAAATAGATAGCTAGATAGTTAGATAGACAGACAGACAGATACATGCATGCATATGTACATACATACATACATGCATACATACATATTCTGGCTGGATGCATTGGCTCATGCCTGTAATCTCAACACTTTAGGAGACTGAAGCGGGAGGATCACTTGAGCCCAGGAGTTCGAGACGAGCCTAGGCAACAAAGTGAGACCCTGTCTCTAAAGTAAAGTAATAATAATAAAGAAGAATATAGCCTTAGATTTGTCTCTCATTATTTGTTTTACAGTTGCTCAACTTGACCTTACTCTCCAGCCTTTCTGTGTATCCACATTGCTTCTGCCAGTTTGCATAATGAAATGCTAAATGTCACTGAATAATCCTTCTTCCAAGACACTTGTAAAAGGGTTAAGATTGACTCTATTTTGAGTATTTTTATTATTGGCAGTTCCATCCATGGGGCCAGGGAAAAACCAATCTCATCATCATAAGACGTTTTTAACTTTTCAAAGGGGTTGTATAGCTATTATCTCTGCCTTTTCCTTAGAAATCTGTAGAGAGGGAAGTTCTCATTTGAAAACTGAGAAAAATTGAAGCATGGAACAATTTTAGCTATTTCACATAAATCATTCAGTGACTAGCAGATCTGGGATTCAAATTTAGGGTTTTTTTTACTCTTAGTTCCCTGTAGAGTACCATATTCACCCTTTTCAAAATGTGTTTTCATTTCTAACTGCGTATTTTATATAGAATTGTAATAATTAGCATTACCTCTGGAGCTCTTACCTAGAGATAGTCACTTCAACAATTTCATTATGTCTGGGAAACTGGCAGCACATAGGTGCCAAGTACATCCCGGTTGCCTGAGAAGGTGGCAGCTCTGGGCTCCCTGCTGCAGGAGGATAAAGTCACTGGTCTGCTAGTGCTTCACTGTGGTTTGGTGAGAGTAGCCTTGGCTACTGATTTTCCATGTTGTCTGTGGCTAGGCTTGAAGGACACAGGGATTCCAAATGACTTTTCAAAGTACACTTTTCTAAGGCTGTTTATTCTCTCTTTTCAGAGTCTAGAAGGAGGGTCATACCGGGGAAGCTTGAAAGACCCTGCAGGCTGCCTGAATGAGGGGATGGCCCAACCCACTCCTCCTAGAAACCTGGAAGAAGAACAGAAAGCCAAGGCCCTGAGAGGCAGGATGTAAGTGGCTTCCCCATATTCTTCCCTGGTGCACATGTGAGTGCGGTGGACGGGGGCAAAGGTTGGGGAGAATTTGAGAGGGATTCCCCATGCTGTTTCTACTGACATCGTTCATTCAATGTAAAGGAGACCCAGATCTGTACAGCATAGTACTGATAAACATTGAGCCACTTTGGCACTGACTTGAATGAAGTTTAGGCTAAAGTATATTCTGAGATAGTAGCTATTACTGACAAAGTGTGGTTATAGGTCTGTTAGAAATTTAAAATGTGGTAATAAAAGGAAAATGGCAAAGTTGAGGAAACCATGAGACTATATTACTGAGGGCCTATAGAATCAGAGAATCTCTAGCCATGGCAGAAAGTCTACAGAGGTCACCTAAGAAATAATTTCCCCAAATGTAGAAGTTATATATAGAGAAAGGAGCTGTTATACCACCAAGCAGGTCCTGTCTCTACTCCTTCTCCAAAGGTTTTAATTTTGCATCTGTTTCTGGGATTAGTTCCAAGAGAACTTCTTCTCCACTTTGAATAGTTAGTGGTAAAATATAATTCATAATGCAAAAAAATCCATGTTATGCAAGAGTTATCTATGTGATATGAAATCAATCTATTATTTGAGCTGATCAAGAATATACCAGATACCGCTAGTACAAAAGCAGAACTCCTCCAAAACTTTTATTTTTTTGTTTTTTTGTTTTTTTCTTTGAGACAGGGTCTTGCTTGGTCACCCAGACTAAAGCGCAGTGGCCTGATCATAGCTTACTGCAGCCTTGACCTCCTGGGCTCAAGGGATCCTCCCACCTCAGCCTCCAAAGTAGCTGGGACTACAGGTGTGCGTCACCATGCCTGACTAATTATTTTATTTTTTGTAGAGATGGAGTCTCACTTTGTTGCCTTGGCTGGTCTGGAACTCCTAGCCTCAAGTAATCCTCCTGCCTTAGCCTCCCAGAGTGCTGGGATTAAAGGCAGGATCCACCGCACCCGGCCAACTTTTGTTTTCTTATTTAGGGTTTGACTCTAAAACCCTAGAGTCTGCTTCTGTTGCAATCAGAGCTAGTAATAAGTCTTAGACATAGCTCAGCATGTGAGAGATTATAAGCAGTTGTGAGAATTGGGAAGGTAGGTGTGAAGGGTCCCTCCCTGTTGTTAATTAGCCTGCCCTTCTCTCTCAAATTCATCACTCCTTTAGCCTGGCCACAGACATAAAAACTAGCAAAAATAAGTGAGGCTAGGTCCTTCTGCTACGTGGAAATGTACAAAGTGTCTATTTATGACTATTTATGACTTTTTGTTTCCTAGGAAACAAAAGTGAGAACATCATAGTGAAGTCCTGGCGTGAAAGCAGGGCTATCACTTCATAGTGGAGATGAACAAGTAGCATGTAAATCCTGTAATTCCATATTTGTCCCCTCAACTTTGTGAGTACTCAGGGGAATCCCTAAGAAGTTGGTGAATAGAATAGAGGTTGAGAAATGCCATTCCCAAAGAGAAATTTCCTAGGACTTGTACAAAGCTGAGTCTTCTTAGCTTCTCAGGTTGTTGTTACTGATGAGGCAGAGTTGCAGCTGTTGTCTTTTGTCAAGCCAAAGCAAAGCTTAAGTCAGAAAGGGGACCTCTGAGGTCACAGGTGACCTTGGGCAAAGCCAGTCACTACTCTTAGCATATAGCTTGAACTGGCCTTTGAGCAGTCACTCAAGCCATTGCCCAGATACAAAGACCACAAAAGTTTACTTTCTCTTTTGCCCACTTTACTGATCTCTTCTCCCTCTTCTCATTCTTGCCAAAATCCACACCTCTTCACATCCTGAGCTGTCTTGCAAATGCAGCTGTTAGAGTGTCTCATTCCTCTTACTATGTCTCATCCTTATTCTATCCTGCTGTACTTTATGGCCATGACGAAAGGGTGGGTGTTTCACTATAAACCATATGTGAGGTCAGAGGCTGAGGGGTGTAGCGAACCAAGACTCAATCCAGAAGATGGCAGCAGGACATCAAAGGGTTAAATGAGAACTCCATGGAGAAGAGATGGACACAAATAGTCATTTGTCCAGGAGAAGAAAGAAGTTGAGAATGCAGTTACTTGTCTTCAAGTTTTAGTCATTCATTCAACAAATACTGATCAAACACCAGTTGTGTACTGTCAGTGGGATACATCAGTAAATAAGACAAATAATAACAACAAAAGTCTTCGCTCTCATGACAAGTTTAAATTCTAGTGGGAGAAATCAGATAATAAACAAATTATGTAGTTTGTTGGAAGCAAGAAAAAGAAAAAAATAGAGCAGTGTAAGGGAGATTCAGAGAATAAATGAGGCCGTGTTATAACTTTAAATTGCCCTGGCATTTGCACAGAGACCAGGGAGGTAAGGAATTAGCCATGGAGAAAAAGTGTTCTCAGGAGAGAGAACAGCCAGTGCAATGGATCTAAGGGATTTTCTGTGGAAGGCCAGCCATTCCCCATCACTGTAAAAGGAGGTTAGAAGTGGTTCTAACCTGTAGCTAAAATAATTTTAGTTGGACCAAAGAATAACATTTGCTTGTAAATAACTTATAATAAGAACTTATGAAAAAAAATGCCTGTCAATTCATTTGGCAATTAATTGTGCCCTGCCTTGCGATGCGTGCAATTTAAATTCTTCATGTCACTTTTCAGACTGTCTTTTAATATGTCATGATCTCCCCAGGTACTTCATTAACCCTTCAAGGGAAGAGATGCTAGGTCCACTAGCAGCACCTAATACAGTTCCCTTCTCTAGAGGCTGAGAAGCCAAAGATAACCCTCAACTGTCAGCAAATAGCTTAGGATAAAAATATCTCCTGGAGACAGAGAGCTAGACTTCATCTCCAGAGGGCAATGCCAGCCCCACATTCTCACTCTAACTTTCCTGTGGGTTTTCTTTTGCCACTTTCTACCAGGCATTAACTTGGGCCATGGTAAAGATATATTTAAATGCTTTTATTTGGCCTTGCCAGTTGCTTCCTGTGGCCTAAAACACATGATTGTCTGTGTTGGAGAGGGAGCTGCTGGAAGCGCTGGGTGCACTGATAAAGAAGCGTGTGCTCCTCTGCTTCCTTCCTCCCCATTGCCCAGAGGCCCCAGACCCCAGGAATGTGGTGGCTTCTGGGACTATACAGAGCAAGAATTTCAGACCAATTGCTTCCTGGTTTCAAAATGGTTATAACCCTTATGCTGGGGTCCCACTTGGACATCTCGGAATTTAATCCCTTCTGCTACTTGGGTCCAAAATGCAATTGTGTGGTCCGAGGCAAAACTCATTCAAATCAGATTGGAAGCATTTGACCCCAGTAGGTTGCACAGCACCACCCTGCCCCTGTGCACAACCATTAACATTTTATGTAAAGCTCTTTAGTGTCTGGACAGAAGACAGAAAAGAGTATCTGGGTTTGTGTTTTGAGTTTGTGTGGACTCCCAAGAGCCAGTCAGAGTAGTTTTCCAGGCAGGGGGCTGCTGTGAAAGAGCATGGTCTTTGGACTCTTACACAACTGGGTTCAAATCCTAGCTCTGCTGCTCACTTTGTAATCATGGTCAGGCTACCTAATCTTTCTGTCTCTGCATTTTCATTTATATAAAATAGGCTTTATAATACCTACCTTATTATAAGCATGAGAAAACCCAGATGAAGGGAGTGGCACATAGTAAATGGTAGAAAGAATTAGCAAAAAAGAAACCAAGAGAGCAAATGTCCTTGTAATTGTTAAACCCTGCAACCTGGAGACGGCAGTGCTGCATTAAAGGTGTGATTTTGGAACGTCTGCAGTCTTTTCTGGCCTTGACTGGGGATTTTCCAGGCCAGTTACTATGGAAACCTATCTAAATAATGGCAGCTTCTATATCTTAAAAGCTTCACTTGATATCCATTCGTGCCTTGGAGGCTCACAGGTTGGTAATCAAATGTCTTTCTCCTCTTGTTAAGTGAAGAGTGGAACTGAAATGAAGAAAGAAAAGTCTCATGTGCACCCCTTGGCCTCAAAGCTTTCAGAACTCAATTTTGCCAAAATGGTTATCATTCTTTCTGCCCTCTGTCTGTACAATTGTTCAGTTGTAAGTGAGGAAGAAAGATGTGAAGAATAGAAAGAAGAATGCTAGGTGCTGAGTGTCATTTTTCAATCTGACTATTGTATGTCACCTGGGGAAATCCTTTCTGGCCTTGGTGTCCTCAGCCCTTGAGTAGGACCTTCTGTAGGGAGAGCATCTGTAAGCACCTTTCCCAGGAGATAAGTGTGGGTGTTTTAGGGGGTCTTTTTGTAAAGGTGTCGAAGTAACTTTTCTGTGAACTTAAGTGAAGATTTTGGCTTGACAATGAAGAGGAACACTCATTGTTCTTAATCTCCTGCTCAGGTTTGTCCTGAATGAGCTGGTTCAGACTGAGAAAGACTATGTCAAGGATCTGGGCATTGTGGTCGAGGTAAGTAGAGGGTTTAGGGTGGGTTTGTGGTCATCCAACCAGGAGCACATTGGGCCCTACCTAGGCCAAGGTGTTTTAATCTGACGGTTACATGTACTTTACTCTGTGTACGCAGTGGCAGAAATGAAACTAAAAATGGTAATAAGCAAAATATGTAGGCAATGTTTTTCTTTTCCCCTTGAAATAAGATATTTAAAGGGAAGTAGGGGCCCAAATGTTACAGCATTTTGGGGAGCCTCTTGATTCAAGTGGAGCTCATTCCACTTTGTTTTAGGGGACCAAGCTATTGTCTTAAGAGCTTTTCTTTGGTATTTAACTATGTGGACTTCAGAGTTATGAGCCATGTAGGCATAAAACAGGTCATTCTTTTTTTTTTTTTTTTTTTTTTTTTTAAATGGAGTCTTGCTCTGTTGCCCAGGCTAGAGTGGTGTGATCTTGACTCACTGCAACCTCTGTCTCCCAGGTTCAAGCAATTCTCCTGCCTCGGTCTCCCAAGTAGCTGGGACTGACTACAGGCACATGCTACCACACCTGGCTAATTTTTTGTATTTTTAGTAGAGACAAAATTTCACCATGCTAGGCAGGATGGTGTCGATCTCCTGACTTTGATCTGCCTGCAATGGCCCCCCCAGAGTGCTGGGATTATAGGCATGAGCCACTGTACCTGGCCAAACAGGTCATTCTTTTTTTTTTTTTTTCTATTATTTTTTTTAAGAGGCAGGGTCTTGCTATGTTGCCCAGGCTGGAGTGCAGTGGCTATTCACAGGTGCACTCCCACTACTGATCAGCATGGGAGTTTTGACCTGCTCCATTTCCAACCTGGGCCAGTTCACCACTCCTTAGGCAACCTGGTGGTCCTCCGCTTCCGGGAGATCACTGTATTGATGCCAAACTTAGTACGGACACCCAATTGGTATAGCACACTACAGCCCAGAACTCCTGGACTCAAGCGATCCTCCAGCCTCAGCCTCCTGAGTAGCTGGGACTACAGGCACATGCCACCACACCTGGCCAAACAGGTCGATTTTAGTGGAATCTTAGGGCTTATACTTTTCCATAGATTTTAAGGATAAGTGTTATAGCTAGCAAGAAGACAGATGAAAGAAAAACTCACCAATGAGCAAGGTTGATAGATCCACAGCTAGGAGTCAACTTGGTAATACATTAAATAGCTCTAGTTCTGTAGGGATTCACTTAAAAGAACTTAGACACTTGGATGAACAAGGGCGTGAGAAAGTAAATGGATAATATGGATAGCTTAGAGCCCTATTGTTAATCATCCTGAAAGAACATGGAGTCTAAAAATTCTATGCCTAATGCCTACACTGCCTGCTGGTTCCTTACATTTGGCCTGAGTCCCCATCCTATGAAATCTGCTGACCCAGGGTTTTGTATTTGCTTATCCTGAACCTTAGATAAACAGATTAACCAGGCATATAGAAGATCTGAATTCTAATTTATGGAAAGTTATTCTCATCTTTCTGCGGGGCTGCGGGGTGGAAGAGTTACAACAGTTTCCATATGCAGTCCAGCCGAGGAGTAGCAGACAAAAGAATCTGGAGACTGGGAGGCTGAAATGCAGGGAAGTGAGACATCAGTGGTGCAATTATGAGACAAGTCATCATCTAACACTGGATGCCTGAGTTTTCTCATCTGTCAGATAGGGATAATGCTACCTGTGCAACCTTAAAACCTGATTTTAAAGCAGAAATGAAATTCTATATGATCACATTTTATAGAGTCTAAAGTATTAATATATTAAGGCTTTTTTTTTTTTTTCTTGAGATGGAGTGTTGATCAATGGCATGATCTTAGCTCATTGCAACCTCCACCTCTCAAGTTCAAGAGATTCTCAAGTAGCTGGGATTACAGGTGCCCACCACTATGCCCAGCTAATTTTTGTATTTTTAGTAGAGGTGGGGTTTCACCATGTTTAGTCAGGCTGGTCTTGAACTCCTGACCTCAGGTGATCTTCCCAGCTTGGCTTCCCAAAGTGCTGGGATTATAGGCATGAGCCACCACCCCCAGCCATTAAGAATTATCTCTAGGCCAGACATATCTAGTTCTGAGCCTTTACAGTCCTGATTAACTTGAATTAGGAGAAGGAAGAGGGACACATTGTTGTTTTCTTTGTGCTCTGCTTTCTTAAGGGAACTGGAGACAAAGAAGGGGATCCAGAAACTTGTAAAAGTTTTGTCTATTGCTCTGCATGAGGGGTGGGGGTAAAAGACCTGGTTGAATAGTGAGAAATGATAGAAGCATTTGTCCTCAGACTCCTGCAGAGAGTGTGGGCTCACAGGGGTGCTGTGGTGTGTGGCATGGCCCAGAAAGCTTTCCTGTGAAAATATGTTACTAACCATTGCCTTTGCTGCTGCAGGGCTTCATGAAGAGAATAGAAGAAAAGGGTGTCCCTGAGGATATGCGAGGAAAGGACAAAATCGTGTTTGGAAATATTCATCAGATTTATGACTGGCATAAGGAGTAAGTATTAATGCTGCCCCAAGGATCCAGTGTCCTGGGAACCCAGGCCTCGAGTCCTCTTCCTGCATCTGACTCAAGGGGTAGGGCTTGGGGAGAGCCTACTGTCACTTATCTTATTATTGAGAAATAGCACAGTTCTGAACAATGTGGCTTCCTTCTCTTACCCTCTTTCTCCTTTTAGTTTTTTCCTGGCGGAACTGGAAAAGTGTATCCAGGAGCAAGACAGATTGGCACAGCTCTTTATTAAGCATGTGAGTGTCTCCCATCACCTCCTCCCCAACTCCTTCACTAGACTCATTGACATTCACTTTAAAATTCTGGCCAGGCACAGTGGCTCACACATGTAATTCCAACACTTTGGGAGGCCAAGATGGGAGGATTGCTTAAACCCAATCATTGAGACCAGCCTGGGCAATATAGCAAGACGCCTGTCTCTACAAAAAATTTAAAATTAACCAGGCTGGTGGCACATGCCTGTAGTCCTAGCCACTTGGGAGGCTGAGGCAGGAGGATCACTTGAGCCTGGGAGGTAGAGGCTGCAGTGAGCCATGATGGCCCCACCCTGCACTCCAGCCTGGGTGACAGAGTGAGACCCCATCTCAGAAAATTAATAAATAAAATTTCTTCAATTTCTTCTCTTCTGCCGTTCTTGACTGACCTTCCTCCTCACCCCTCTCTGAGTATTTTTGGTTTTTGTTTTTTTTTTTTAACCTTCTTGGTGATTTGGAAAGTGGCTCTTGCCTACCACACTTATATCCCTGATATTCAGCTGCCTTGTTGTGTCCCCAGGTGCACCTTTGTCCTTTGTCCACGTGGAGGCCAGCACGGCACTCTGAGACTAAACAAAAGACACAAGATGCCTGACTGTCCACATGTCTCTCTCTGCTCTTTCAGGAGCGGAAGCTGCACATCTACGTGTGGTATTGTCAGAATAAGCCACGCTCAGAGTACATCGTTGCTGAGTATGACGGCTACTTTGAGGTAAGCTGTGCAGGCTTTGCTGAATTGGGGTGGGGGGAAAACTGAGGCCAAGATAGCCACTTTCAGAACTATCAGACAGCATCCATCCACAGCTGCCTCAACAGAGAAGTAGCTTCATAGCTAAATTCTCATGAGCACCTTTGCTTGAGAGGGGCTGGGGTGGCCCCGTCCAGTTCTGATTTGAGAAGTCCCCCATTTGCGGAATAAGTCTGAGCACAGAGACGGTTTGAGAAGCTCCAGTTCTTCTTAAGAGACCATAGAGCAGATTGCGCCCACCAGTCCCCCCAGCGACCGCTTACTGAGGAACCTTCTGTTGGTTTAGGGGTTTGCAGCCTTCCTAGTCTCTGCTTGGCCTAGCCTGTAAGGATTTATTTTGCTGGGAGAAGGGCAGCACCATCACTTAGAAAGAGCGCTCAGCTGAGTGTTTGGGGATCTAAGTTTAGGGCTAGGCTCCACAGGCTTGTGTGTCCTAGGAGAAGCCCCTTTTCCCTGCCTTTGCCCTGAAGGAGTGGTGAGAATAAGGCTCTTCCAGCTTGTCTCCCAGAACTGGGGCAAAGACCAAGGTGTGGAAGTACTTGCTGTAAAAGCACAGGAAGAAGGCAGGAAGCCAGTGGTGATGTGTATTATGTGTTGTTCATAACAGGTGAACTGTCATCTAGGCAATTTTATCTCTCACATTACTTAAAGATTCTTCAGCTTCATTGGAAAACATGCAGACCTGTCATCCGTGCCTTTGAACCTAATTCAGAGCACCCCAGTTCTTTAGTTCCTTTTTTTTCTAATATTGCTTCTTGTGTTTCAGGAGGTAAAACAGGAGATAAATCAGAGGCTGACACTGAGTGACTTCCTCATCAAGCCCATTCAGAGAATAACAAAATACCAGTTGCTCCTCAAGGTAAGAAGCTGGGAGCCTGGGTCAGGGCTGAAGAAGGGTCCCTCAAGCCTAGGACAGGTTAGCAGTAGATCTAGGGGCTCTGCCTCCGCCACACTGTCCCAAAGGACTGTGAACAGTGGGACGGGTAGTGGGGACATGGGAACTTTCATCCGTCTGCTGGTTACTTTGTCAGCTTTGCCCCCAGATAAACTGCATGGCTGTTCTCCCTTTAGGTGCGTTGTTACTTGATTTTCTTTTCTCAATTCACGTTCTTGCTTTGCCGCAGTTGTTGACTTGATACCTTTAAAAAATAATAAGAATATAAAATCAGAGTGAAATACAGGGAGAAAGGGAAAGGTAAGGCTTTAAAAACCTTAGATAAGCAATACCTAAAATTATATACATATATTTGAGACAGGGTCATATATATATATATATATTTGAGACAGGGTCTTACTCCGTCCCCCAGGCTGGAGTATAGTGGCATAATCATAGCTCACTGCAGCCTCAAATGCCTGGGCTCAAGTGGTCCTCCCTTCTTAGCCTCCCGAGTACCTAGGACTACAATTGCATAACACACTGCCTGGCTAATTTTTTGTTTTTTGGTCAAGACAGGGTCTCACTATATGGCTCAGGCTGGTCTCAAACTCCTGGCCTTTCAAAGTGTTGAGATTACAGGCATAAGCTATTGTGCCCGGCCTAATTATATTTTAAACAATGGCTCAACTTGATTCATCTCATGGCATTAGGAGGCTAAATAAAAAAGAGAGACTTAACTTTTCTTTCTGTCTTTCTTGTCACAATCCCCCTTTCCTTTCATCCTCTCTCCCCCTCACTCTTCCTTCTCCCATAGCTTTGAAATTTTGGGGCTGGGTGCAGTGGCTCATGCCTGTAATCCCAGCACTTTGGGAGACTGAGGTGGATGGATCACCTGAGGTCAGGAGTTTGAGACCAGCTTGGCCAACATGGCGAAACACTGTCTCTACTAAAAATACAAAAATTAGCTGGACGTGGTGGCACATGCCTATAATCCTAGCTGCTCAGGAGGCTGAGGCAAGAGAATCACTTGAACCTGGGAGGTGGAGGTTACAGTGAACCGAGATCGTGCCACTGCACTCCAGCCTGGACAACAGAGTGAGACTCTGTCTCAAAAAAAGAAAAAAGAAAGTTTGAATATTCTGGGAGTTCTCTCTATGTTATTACATCTTACATGACTCATAATTTCATTTCTCAGCTACTCTAAACCATTGCCACCTCTACTGGGAAGGAAAGTCTCCAGGGTGTTATTGTATTTTTATGATAAGTTTTTTTCCAGCTATTTTACTAATTTTAACCCTTTCCACATTCTTCCCTGCTTCCCCTACTTGCTAGGACTTCCTGAGATACAGTGAGAAGGCTGGTTTGGAGTGTTCAGATATCGAGGTGAGTTTTCTGCTTGTAATGCTTGCTGTTCTTAGGAACCGTATTGGATAGCTCTCTCTAGAGGAGAAAAGATTGTCTCAGGAGGACGCGGATCCAGAGAGACCCCTCTCAGACAGTAAGAGGCTCTGTGAACAGCTTCATACCTGCTTACGGAATGGCAAGTGTTAATGAACACAGTGTTTCCTAGAACTCGAGAAATCTGTCCTAGGCTAGACTAGAGCTTAGCTCCACTGGTGTTCTTTTGGCTCCCAGTGACACATAGTGGGAAGGGATAACCCTTTAATATCCTTCAGAGACTAGGTGTAAGTTGCACAAAGACCCAGTATGCAATTTTATTCATGAAGACAAGAATTATTTGAGTCAATCATACAAAGTATTTCATTTTCACCTCCCTTTCCAAACTCTGTAGACTACTTCCAAGCGAAGTCCTTTGAGACAATGTCACCATGGGATTATTTTAATCCAGAAAGGTTACAGACCATTCTGTTATATTATTTTAGTTTAAAACTTCTAAGTGTTTCACAGCCAGACTAAGCTGTTGCCTGGGCAGCCAGGAAGAAATAGAAGAAAGAAAATCTGAGAAGGCAAGGCAATTGGTGAACAAAAACAGGAACGTAGGAAAAAGAGGGGCTGAGTAACATTCCCCCAACATATGGTCATTGACTGACATGGAGCCCCTGTGCTGAGGACCAACACTCCCCCTCTGGAACAGAAAGGCCCACACTCTCTGAGAGTGGACAGCAGGAACCAGCATCCTGCTGAATAAATAACCAGCATCCTTCCTAGAATAAAGGAGCCACAAGAGATGAAATCCCCGTTTTCCAGCACTGAATTACCAAGAATTACAACTGTTCTTTCCCACAGAAAGCAGTGGAGTTAATGTGCCTTGTTCCCAAACGTTGCAATGACATGATGAATCTAGGACGTCTGCAGGGCTTTGAGGTGAGTCTTTAAGAATGTGTGTAAGCCCACTGTCTCCAGAGCAGGAGGAGTCTGAGCTGTTGAGGCTTCCTCCCCACAAAGCCCTGTGTCCTGCCTCTGCTCCTTCACTCACCATTATGCCTTCATGCCTGGGCCTCTCTGGTGCACAGTCCTGGAAGATACATCTCTCTAGGAAGTCCAGCAATAGGGAGGTCATAAGAAGTTAGCATTTGGTCAGAATTCCAAGGAGATTAGAAAGACCTAAAGTGAGTTTTTTTGTTTGTTTTATTTTGTTTGAGACAAGGCCTCACTCTGTCACCCAGACTGGAGTACAGACTGGTGCAATCCTGGCTTACCGCAGCCTCAGCCTCCCGGACTCAAGCAATCCTCCTACCTCAGTCTCCTGAGAAGCTGGGACTCTAGCACACATCACCACACCTGGCTTATTTTTCAATATTTTTTATAAAGACAGATTTCACCATGTTTTCCAGGCTGGGAAAGACCTAGAGTTCTTTATGAGTGTTTAGACCTGATAGCGACCTCTTCCTTTCCCTTCTTGATTGATAAATGCAGGGACTGTGAGTGACAGGAGGGCTATGTGATAGAAGTAGAGCTGAGCAGGAGAATGGAACACCTACTTTTTGAGAGGGAGGTTCCGGCTTTATTAGTTAAATGAATACTTAAAGCTCTAAAACATTACAGTACAAAATTCTATTATTTGAAGAGGGGAATCAAGTCTGCAGGGAAATGGCTGTGTCCCAAAGATTTAGTTTAAGTGAATATACCAGTTTGCTAGGGCTGTCATAGCAAAGTACCATAAATTGGGCAGCTTAAACAACAGAGATTTATTGTCCCACATTTCTAGAGGCTAGAAGTCTGAAATCAAGGTACTGTCAGGTTGGTTCCTCCTGAGAGCTGTGAGGGAGGGGTCTGTCCTAGGCCTTTCTCTTTGGCTTGCAGATGGCTGTCTTCATGTTCACATGGCATTTCCTGTGTCTTTACATCCCCTTTCCCTCTGTGCTATGTCTGTGGCCAAGTCTTTTTTTTTTCCAATATGGACATGAATCATATTCTGTTAGGGCTAACTCTCATGACTACTTCACTTTAACTTGATTGCCTCTGTAAAGACCCCATTTCCCAACAAGGTCACATGCTGATTATCTGGGACCCTAGGAGCTAGGACTTCAGCAAAGGAATTGATGAGGGACATGGAAGGAGAGAAAACACAATTCAACCCATAACAGTGAACCTTTGAAGAGCAAATTGACTGTCTAATTTAAACCTAATAACTGTTATTAATTCGTATCCAAACCTAATAAATTAACCACATATAGTATGTTTTTAAGATTAATATGATAAAATTGGAACTCACACAATTATTGATTGGTACCTAGTAGCTGTTGATCCCCTTAGAGAAAGATGTGGATCTTTTATTTCCCAGCAGTCCAAAACCTAAGCTTTCATTATTCCTTTTTGGGGCAAAGGGATTCCTAGAATTTGAGATAATTAAGAAATAAATGGCTTTTTTTTTTTTTTTTTCTGGCTAAACTAAAATGGAATAGATACAAGACAGAGATATAATTGACTCATACTCATACCACTGTATAAGTAATTTGGGGGATAGTATATTTAAGTTTGGATTCATGCATTGGATTCATGACATTCTTGAGCCAAATTTCCTTCTCCTCCTTGCCCTTCCAGCCCATCCCACGTGTCCCTGTCTGGCTTCCATTCTTTGCTGTGGCAGGAACTATGTGGACATTTCTTTTTTTAATGTGCATATTTCATAGGCTCTTGGTCTTCTCAAGTAGGCTGGAGACATTAGCATAAGCAGGGTTACTAGATAGACATACACTGAGTTCTTAACCATTTTTCTTAGTCATTCTGGGTGCAGTTTTGTCCTTTTTCCATGGGTATTACATCAGGTCTGAGGCTATTCTGAACAAACCCAAGAGATCCCTTTTGTACTTCAACCTTAAAGACCCATATTTTCTGAACAGGAGTCTGGCTGTGCTTCTCTGGGTCTCTGGAGGAAGTGACCACTGGCAGGAGGAGTGGCATCTGATTGTGTTGTCTGCCCCAAGTTAGAGTTCACAGGAGCTGTGTTGGACATGTGCATGTGCATGTGTGTGTCCATATAAGGACACCCACATGCATGGAATCAAGTTTTAAGTTAAGAACTGTTGTCTCCTGTTTTCATCAAGCCACCAGAACCTGGTTTTTACATTCCTTCAGCCAACTGGGAGAAACAGTGAGCAAGTGTCTATTCCCTCAGCCCATGGCTTTGGGCTTGAGAGAATTTACAGCCTCCCCTCCTCCCATTTTCAAATCCTCTGGCTTTCCATTTGGTGCTGACTGAGCTGTAACCCATGATAGGTTCTTGTGTAATATTAATAGAGCTTTCCTGGCTAGCTGGTCACTGGCTTAATATTAACTTTAGACCAGGGTAGAGATAAGCCTGTTTGGCTGCTGATGTTGGCAGTAAGGAGCCATGATCCAAGCAGAGGGCAGGTGCTACTCAGGAACACAAAAGAAAAATGACCCCTCTGCTGGGTAGTGTTTGGAATAAGATATCACATGGAAAGAATAGTCCACATTTGCACCAAAGGGCAGAGTCATCACCCGAGAAAGAGTACCTGCATTTCAGAGGAGGTCCACTGATTGCCGTCTCTGATGTCGAGGTCTTCTCATTGCAAAGCAATAGAAATGCAAGTCGCTCTGACAGATTCTGGGGAGACTTTCTGAGGTGTGCCATATTCCCTTTGAAGCTGTGAAGATGTCTCTGAAAATCTCATCAGAAACTGGCAAACCAAATAGGTTCTACCTCCTCAGCTGGGTGTCAGGTGGCCTGGCAGCTGGAATCTTTTATTTTATTTTTTTTAATTTTAATTTTAATTTTATTTTATTAATTTTTTTTTTCTTTTGAGACAGAATCTCACTCTCTCACCCAGGCTGGAGTGCAGTGGTACAATTTCAGCTCACCACAACCTCCGCCTCCCAGGTTCAAGTGATTCTTGTGCCTCAGCCTCCGGAGTAGCTGGAACTACAGGCACAACCCATCATGCTCAGCGAATTTTTATATGTTTAATAGAGACGGGTTTCACCGTGTTGGCCACGATGGTTTCAATCTCTTGACCTCGTGATCCACCCATCTCGCCTTCCCAAGGTGCTAGGATTACAGGGGTAAGCCACTGCGCCCCACCTGGAGTCATTTTTAGAAGAATCACAGGACCTAGAAAAGCATTTACCAGCTTATATAATATGGGGACTTAGCTATAGTACCAACTCTACCTGTTGGCCTATAGCTAGAAACTAAGATTTCAGAATTTTCCCTGTCCTAAAATAATTGAAGAAGAGAGGGGAGTGACTTATCGGAGTATTTGTGGACCTGCCTTCATCACTTCCTTTGTCCACAGGTGAGTTCAAGGTTCATGGCCATGAGAATGCCCCAAGTCTTGGACTACTGCAAAGGAGCTAGGCAGGCACAGCTCTCAGAGCTCTGAGGACAGAAAGGCCACTTGTAGCTCCAAGTGTCACCTACGTTCTATTGTCCTTTCAATAAAAACAAGAAGGGCTGGCCAGGTGTGGTGGTTCACGCCTATAGTCCTAGCACTTTGGGAGGCTGAGGCAGGCAGATCATGAGGTCAAGAGATAGAGACCATCCTGGCTAACATGGTGAAACCTGGTCTCTACTAAAAATACAAAAATTATCTGGGCGTGGTGGTGGGCGCCTGTAGTCCCAGCTACTCGAGAGACTGAGGCACAAGAATTGCTTGAACCCAGGAGGCAGAGTTTGCAGTGAGGCAAGATTGTGCCACTGCACTCCAGCCTGCTGACAGAGCGAGACTCTCTCAAAAAACCAAAACCAAACAAAAAAACAACAAACAAAAACAAAAAACAGGAAGGGCCAGGATTATGACTTTCCAGCTAACAACATTACTTCCTGCCTTCTGGTGTTTGCCTGGAGCTATTTCTCAGCGGTCCCATAGCTTGCTTTCCCTTTCCCTCCAGGGCTCTTGTGTGAACAGGAAAGTGGCCAAGGTCTGCCCTTGGATGAGTGGGTGGGTTCTAAGTCAGTCTCTAGAGCCCTGGGAGTTTTGATGTCAGATCTGTTGTCCATATCCCCAGATGAGGAGGTTCTGTGGATCCAGAGGGCAGTGGCCATCTCCCTGTTTTTCATTCACTTCACTCCAGCCCCTCTCTCCTTCAGGGCACCCTGACTGCTCAAGGGAAGCTGCTGCAACAGGACACGTTCTATGTGATAGACCTGGATGCGGGCATGCAGTCGCGGACCAAAGAGAGGCGCGTGTTCCTCTTTGAGCAGATTGTCATCTTCAGTGAACTGCTCAGGAAGGGATCCCTCACCCCCGGCTACATGTTCAAAAAGAGCATCAAGGTGAGGATCCCAGTGGTGATGAGAAGGGGCAAGGAAGACCCCGGTTCTTGGGATGTGCTTCCCTAAAACAAGGCACTAGATGACATCCAGAACACTGAAAATCTTTCAGTCTAATAACCTTCGGTCATGGAGGTTGAACGACAGTGATTATCTGTGAGCCAAAGTGACAGGCTGACCCAGTCTCTAGCATGATCTTGTAGTTTCCCTGAGATCATGTCACTCATCCAGAGACAAAAACCTAACTACTGGCCTGCTAGATCGAGGGCAAAATTTGGAAGCACGTCCTGAAATAGAAACTTTGAGGAATGGTAATGTGTTGCTGATTTTTTTTTTTTAATCTCTTAAATGTAAAAATGATCAATTTGTTTTCTTCCAGATGAATTATTTGGTCCTGGAGGAGAATGTGGACAATGATCCCTGCAAGTTTGCACTCATGAACAGAGAGACTTCTGAGAAGGTCATTCTGCAAGCCGCCAACGCTGACATCCAGCAGGCCTGGGTGCAGGACATCAATCAAGTCTTAGAAACACAGCGAGACTTTTTGAATGGTGGGTCCTGGGCTTGGTTTCTTGCAGGGCCATTTCAGGGCACTCCACAATCTCTGAGCTTCCTTGGGTCTGGGCTCATGGTCAGTTATGAACCCAGATCACATTTGAAAGGAACTCCATCTTTGTAGTTTTCAGAAACACTTTAGAATTCTTCTGAATCTGAATATACAAGTAGAACACATGGAGTATGAAAAAGAAGCTCCATCTTTCTGATGGAAAAGATTTCTCTTTTAGATCACAGGGTGTATGTCTTGTGGCCATCACTACCACCTGGTACTAATTTGGGGAAAAGTCTGAGTTAGGCACATCATCTGTGTCTTAGGGGCCTGCTAGAAATGACATGTGTTTTCCCAATTTTCACAGCTTCTGCAGTGTTAACTAGAGATAAATGGGAGTTTGGCCAATCAGTTCTAATCCCTTCTCTGCTCCCAACAGTGTGAGAGCCTAGATAAGCCATGTTGCTAGTCAACCTTACTCCTTTTAAATGAGATGGTTGCTAACTCTCAATTTCTGTAGTACCCCGAAACTTCCTAGAAGAAATTGGTGGTTACACAGAGCATGTAGCTCTCTGTGGCCCTTGCAGGAGTTTCCTCATGTGTGGTGTGAATTAGAGTGAAATGGAGTTGCTACTTTGTTTCTTAATTTTTTCCCCTGCTCGGGTTTTCTTCACACTGAGCTTGGCGTGGGAAAGGGGTATGCGGTTTTAAACTAGTGGCTGATCTCTGCTGACTTGGTTAGCTCAGAAGTCTAACCAAGCAGAAATAGAGCTTGAGGTTGAATGCAGAATGTAATTAGTAATGAAGTAAACCTGGAGCCCCAGCAAGCACATATGCCTATATAGACACACAGACACAATACCAGCGTTGGGTATATCACCTCTTCCTCCCTGTCCTGAGATCTGTACTACATGGCCATATGTGCTCACATGAGTGCACACATAGGTACACACACATACATATATATAGGCCCACCTTCGGGTGTGTCACCTTTTCATAGAAGTACTAGGATCCTTTAGATGATCCAAATACAGCATTTTCTGGGTGTCTAGAATGGAACTGAATGCTGAAGAGAAAGATAACAGGTGACATATGAGTTGAGGACCTTGGGCAAGTCATGACATTTCTCTGGCCCTTGTGGCTGGTTTTATTAAAAAGAGAGCTCAGGTAGAACTACTCTGCCCATGATGGTATGCACCATGATGGGCCAGTCTTCCTGGAAGCAGGAAACATGACGTCCTCCCTACAATATCAGTTTCACTATATGATAAGGGATTTAGCACAGTGTTTTAAAGATAAATAGAAGGAGATCATGTAGCAGGATGCCATGACTTTTTAAGATAGAACATGAGACTTCAAAGCAATTTTGCACTTACAGGAAGTATTTTGGGACCAAGCCCCTGGCCCTCAACTGCAAAAACTTTTAGTAAAAAACAACTAGACTAAGTGATGTCTAGGATTCATTTTACTCTAAAACATCTAAACTTAAATGTCAGCCGAGCCCTGAGGGATGGTAATGAAAGTTGTATATGGCTTATGATTTCTGAATATACAATTTTGAATGAACACTTTTGTTGATAAAATAATTTTATGCATAAATGTGTGCATATATAAAGTATACCCATTTAAATTGCATTCTGTTAGGAGTTTCTGATAGATTCTAAGCTGAAATGAGGAATTTTAAAATTCGTCAATTTGGGACAAAAGAAAAAGTACAAAAAATAAAAAATGAAGTAAAAAAATAAAATAAGTTGAAACAAGAAGTTATTGACATAACAATAATGGCTCCCATGTATTGAATCCTCATTCTGTGTCAGGCTAAGCATTTGACATGGTTTTTCACATTTAATCCTCATGTCAACGTGGAGAGGTAAGTACTATCATCCTACTTTTTTCAGAGGAGGAAAAGGAGACTCAGAACTTGTCCAGGGTCACAGAAACAGTAAGTGATGGAAAGAGGAATTGAATCTAGGGCTATAGGATTTCAAATTAAGGTTTTGAACCACAAAACTGCAGTATACATGCTAGTGTTAGGGCACTCATTTATTTAACTATGAGATCCCTAGCAACCAAAGTGAAGAAAGAAACAGGATGAGACATAAGACACTGTATAGATCAGCCAAAAACAAACCCTGTAGGGATGCACCTTTTTCTTGATTCTGAGACTAAGCTATGCAAATTGAGGCTGGTGAAAGAATACAGGCTATTTAGCTTATTTAAGAAGGCATACTTTTTTCAAATGTTTTAGCACAGTCATTGTAAATAACCAGGTAATATCACAATTCCATGTGATGGGAATTGATCCATAAAATCAGTTTGATAAGGCCTACTTTATAACTCTGCTTTGTATTTAGAACTTGGAACTGTATTTCTTTAGGCATAGTCAATGATTCAGAACTTTACGTAGTTCCAAGAGACTTTCTCCTAATTACAGTGAATCACAGAGATACGGTCATCCCCTGGTATCCACCGGGAATTGGTTCCAAGGCCTCCCGAGGATACCAGAGTCTGTGGATGCTCAAGTCCCTCAAGGAAAATGGCATTGTGATTGCATATGATGATCTATGTACATGTACATCCTATATAATTTAAATCATCCCTAGATTGTTTATAATACCTAATGTAATGTAAATGCTGTGTAAATAGTTGTTATACTGATAACAGTTTATGGACTAACAGACTACAACCATCCCTTCTCCCCCCATATATTTTATTTATTTATTTATTTATTTTTGAGACAGAGTCTCACTCTGTCACCAAGGTTAGAGTGCAGTGGCATGATCTCAGTTCACTGCAAACCTCCAGTTCCCAGGTTCAAAAGAGTCTCGTGCCTCAGCCTCCCAAGAAGCTAGGATTACAGGTGTATGCCACCATGCCTGGCTAATTTTTGTATTTTTAGCAGGGATGAGGTTTTACCATATTAGCCATGGCTGGTCTTGAACTCCTGGCCTCGAGTGATCTGCCCACCTTGCCCTTCCAAAGTGCTGGGATTATAAGCATGAGCCACTGTCCCTGGCCCTTCTCATAAATTTTCAATCCAGAGTTGGTTGAATGCATGGTTGTGGAGCCCACAGATACAGTGGGCCCACTGTATTACTAAATTAGATTATCATCTCCTAAATACTTAATGCCCACAAAATGCTCCCCGGTGAGAGAGGCGGTGCTCTGGCAGGCCTGTTACTACTTTAACACATGCAAGAGACAAGGATGTGATGATGGACCAGAGCCCAGCTTCTACTTACAGAGATTGTATGCAGGCATCTCAGAGACAACCTTTCCTTCTGAGACCTCAAATAGAAAGGAAGTGTGACCCTATATTAAGTCCTATTGAGGTATGTACCTATCACAGTAGAAATACTCTTATAATTGAGAAGTTCTCTGGGCCCCAACTGTTAACCCACTTAAATAGTTTTTACAGTGCAAACTGATAAAAATGACATAATTGGGCCAACCCTTGAAGTCATTCTTAAAGAATTGGACCTGTATGCCATTTGCCTGGCTCTACCTCTTTAGTTCTCAGACCTTGCAACTTTGTTATCTTAAACTCAGTAAAACAAAGCTCTAGTCTTCCTCTTCATAACAGCTTGTTCTCTTGTCTTCTGAGTTCCATTGACTACCATCCTCTGAGTCTCCAAACCTGAGCCATCCTCGATCCTTGCATTGCTTTTCCTACCTAGGCTGTCACAGTCTCATCTCTCCCAACCTTGCCATGCCCTCATCCATTCCACATCCTCCTGGTCCCGCTCTCCTAGCCCTTCTGCCTCTCGCTGTTACCATTCCACAGCTTCTGAAGTCGACAAGAAGCCTTCTGTCTCATCCTCTCCAGTCCCTCCTCCTAACCACTACAAGGTCAGTGTTCCTCAAATGTAGCTCTGATGATAGAATCTGAATTTAAAACTTTAAAGTTCATTCAATCCATTTACTTTTCATGACCTTCAGAATTTGGTCATGAAATTCGGTCAGACTCACTGGCCCCACTTTCTAGACTTTTCACACCATGGCACTTCCCACTTCCTAGACCCTTCTTTCCCCTCAGGGAGACCCAAGGCCCTAGGCACTCTGACTACTTCCTGTTCCCCTCACCAACACATCACACTTGCTTCCTTCCTGCAGCCCAAGCGCCGGAGTCTGGCCACAGCTGTCTTCCAAAGCCCTTTTGTTACCACCACCAGCATGCACATGTTACAGAGCCTTCTCTCTCTTTGCACTACACTTAGTACCTCACATATGGCACCATTTTTTAAAAATTTTTATTATTTAGGTAGATGTTTTAGTTCTCACATTGCCTTAAAAACAAGGGTAGTGTTTTTCTCACTTATCCACACGACACCTAACACAAAGCCTTGGACCTAAGAGGCCTCCAAATCCTTGTGGGATTCCCAAAGCTTAGAGTAACCACCTGCTGTTATCCCACAGCACTGCAGTCGCCCATTGAGTATCAGCGGAAAGAAAGGAGCACAGCCGTGATGAGGTCTCAACCTGCCAGGCTTCCCCAAGCCAGCCCCAGGCCCTACTCCTCTGCTCCTGTGGTCTCAGAGAAGCCCCCAAAGGGCTCCAGCTATAACCCACCTCTGCCACCCCTGAAGATACCTACCTCCAATGGCAGTCCAGGGTTTGAATACCACCAGCCTGGGGACAAGTTTGAAGCCAGCAAGGTAAGTGACAACTCATTACTCCCATCCTTGCCACTATGAGGGCACAGCCCCAGGAGTTACTTTAGGAAGAGACAGAGTCTCAGTCTGTCACCCAGGCTGGAGTGCAGTGGCACAATCTCAGCTCACTGCAACCTCTGCCTTCCAGGTTCAATCAAATTCTTCTGCCTCAGCCTCCCAAGTAGCTTGGACTACAGGCACCACACCATGCCTGGCTAATTTTTATATTTTTTAGTAGAGTTGGGTTTTACCGTGTTGGCCAGGCTGATCACAAATTCCTGACCTCAAGTGATATTCCCATATCAGCCTCCCAAAGTGCTGGGATTACAGACCTGAGCCACCTCACCCGGCCAGGAAGTAGCATCTTTTAATGCTTGCTGATTCTTTTAGCAGGAACAGCCCACTAAGTACAGTCTAGTCTCAGTTATGTTTTTCTTTCCCTGTAAATTGGGTGAGTTATACCAGTTCCCTCTGGCAATCATAAAAATGGATGATTTTTGCTAAATAGAATAGTTGTGGTGTGGATCATCTTCATCTAAAAGTCACAGTTGTGGTGCTTGACACCTTAAAAAGAGATCACCCTTTCTAATGATGATCTATGTTGAGCGCCTCCTGAGAGAAGTTCACAGCTCTTCACTATCCATTGGCTGATGTGGAAGGGAAGTCAATCATCAGTGTGTGAATGGCAGAAGTCCTGCTTAGATTAAATGTTTTTCATAGATAATCTACAATTCAAACATCGTCATAAGGAGAGTCAAAGACTCAACCATACACCTAGTCTACACAGCTATTCTGCCCCTGCAAGATAGGTAGAACAGAAGAGAAATGGGAAAAATGCTAGATTAGGAATCAGGCAAACCTGGCTTCTATTCCCAATTCTGCCTCACTTTCTTTAGAACCTTAGCAAGTTAGTTAATCTCATTAGGCCTCAGTGGCTCTATGAATAGAAACACATTTTTTATCTACATGTTCCAATTTCAGTTTTATATCTCTCCAAAATTATTAGTTTTTTATATTGGTTATATTAAAAAATTATTGATGTCCAAGTTCAATCCTGTATTAGAGGAACTATACCACTTGTTTCATCACATCACCTGGAAATGATTTTCCACCGTACAAAACAACCCTGCCTTTTTGAGTAAGTTGAAATCCCTTTGGCATTTTGTCGAACATATCAGGCCAGATATGGTGGCTCACACCTGTAATCCCAGCACTTTGGGAGGCCAAGGCAGGAGGATGGCTTGAGCTCAAGAGTTCAAGACCAGCCTGGGCAACATGGCGAGAACTCGTCTCTAATAAAACCTTTTCGAAAAAATTAGCCAGACGTGGTAGCACACACCTGTTTTCCCAGCTACTGAGGCAGGAGAATCACTTGAGCCTGGTAAGTCGAGGCTACAGTGAGCTATGACTCTGCCATTACACTTCAGCAGTGACATAGCAAGACCCTGTCTCAAAAAAAAAGTATATACTGAAGAATTTGTATGTATATACATACAGGATATATATGTATATACTATATTTAAGAATATGTATGTACTATATGTAAGAATATGTATGTATATACATACAGAATGTGTATGTATATACTGAAGAATTTCTGGCTCTGACCATGCTCTATGAAGCAGCCAGGCCTCCTTGGGAGTTACAAGTCTGCCTAGAAGCAGCTGCCCTGATGCAGACTCACCTGAAAAGATCATAGGCATCATCTCTTGTATTAACGAGTAGGGGAAGGTACTTGGTGCCTGCAGGAAGTTGGATGCAGGTAGGTCCTGGCCTTGCCTTTGAATTGGGCAGAGATACCATTCTTAGTCTTGTCTCAAAGAGGGTCAGAATATACAGTAAAGCCAACACATTTTCAAAAAGAAAAAAAATTAATATCAAACGATCCATGTTCTTTCCGTTAAAGGATTGTAACCCCTGACATGACCCTTGTCCTGACCTCACTCTGCCCAGGTGCTTACATATCCCTATGCCAGTGCCAGGTTCTTCCTTTCACTTATCAGAGAATGCTGGCTGGAAGGTTGTATGCTAGGAAGGGGCTTCCAGGTCGAAGGTGTGTTTATACCTCTTTCTGTGCTGGAGCATATTCACCCTGGATGATAATATTATTGAAACATTGCTATTAAAAAATACACTTTCAGAGCACATTTATTAATATTATGTCATTACTCAAGAGAGAATGCTGCCTGCTGCTTACCCTGCTAGCGGGAGATTTGGCCTTGAACCACCAGGTAGGGTGCAAAGCGAGCCCATGTGAACTAGCATCCTTGTGTTTGTGTCCTTCACCCTTGTCTCCCAGCAGAACGACCTGGGAGGCTGCAATGGGACCTCGTCCATGGCCGTGATCAAAGATTACTATGCACTGAAGGAGAATGAAATCTGTGTGAGCCAAGGTGAGGTGGTCCAGGTCCTCGCCGTCAACCAGCAGAACATGTGTCTGGTGTACCAGCCTGCCAGCGACCATTCCCCCGCCGCCGAGGGCTGGGTCCCAGGCAGCATCCTGGCGCCCCTCACCAAAGCCACAGCAGCAGAAAGTAGTGACGGGAGCATCAAGTAAGTGCCTCGTTGGCTTCCCCGGGAGAGGAGTATGAGGATTAAAAATATTCAGAAACAAATAAAAAAACACAAAAGTACAAACACACAGTAGGGAATTACTGCTGCTTGTTCTCAACGGTGCCACTGAACCAGTGTTCGAGTGCTGGAACCATACGCAGCATGGGGCATCCAGGCTGGAGTGGTCCAGTTTTTTTGTTGGTGGTGGCAGTGATTTTTATTTCCTTTTGTTTTATAATTTTCTGTTCATTTTTTCCCTCTTTTTCCCCCCACTCATTAAGAAAAGAACCCTACTGAAACCCTAGGTGACAAAAGGTGTGCCTTCTGTTGCCACATTTGACCCACCACAGGACTCACTGGACTGGACTTTATTTATATTGTATTAAGTAACTGATATATATATATATATATTTTTTTTTTTTTTTGATTGACACCAAAATATTACCTTGGCACAAATGCCAGACCTGTAAAGGTCAGAGGTCCGCTGCTCCTCCCAGGAGGGAGGGAACTTTTTGGTTGTCTGTGGCAATTCTTCTGTACAGATTGTAACTTTTTAAAAATTCCCCCCACCCCGTCACTTGAATACATGTTCATAGTAATTTGTAAGATATTTCTTTTCCTTATTTTGGTTGCAAAGACCCTTCCGAACACATTCCTGTATAAAGTATTTTGCACTATTTAAAGAAACCCATATGGATGAAGTCAGGTCGTGCAATATGATGGCGTCACGATGCTCATCGTTGTACCTGTAATGTAACTAATCAGTTTAAATGTACTATTTTAAATATGTAAAATAAATTCTCACTATGAGCATGTTTTAACGAAGTTAAAGACTAAGTTGACCCTTTTTCCCCCATTTCAGTAATCTTGGACTTTCAAATGTGCAAACGGTTCTTCTTTTCCTCTTCTTCTTTTTTTTTTTTTTTTTCCTTTTCTATATTTTAGGACTTGGGTGAATGCATTGGCATTTTGTTTCTACACAATAAGTGCCTTTGTCGCTAAGGATCTGACCCTGCTTTTTCCTCCTAAACAGCCCCTGTTGGTTTTCCCTAACCTCTGAGATGAGGGAAGGTACAGATTCGATGCTCTCCAACTGGTTCCCAGCAACTGGGCAGCCCTGAGGTGCTGACATCCATTAATGACCAGAGTAGAAGGCAGTGTTTGGCTGGCATTCTCTTCTGCTTTCCATGCTGCATGGTCATCCATGGAAGGGGTGCAGGGGGCTCCCACAAGCTGCCTGAGCAGTGACACCAGCAGAACTGCGCTGCGCTGGGCCTCTCTCTAGGTCAGGAGATAGCAGCTACTGACATCCCCCTGGCCTCACTAGGTAACTTCAGGGCCAACCAAAGATTCATAGTGGCCCCTAAGGCACAATAGCCTCCATGCATTTTATCCTAAGTACACATTTTGGGTGCCTTTTAGGAAGCCTTGGGATAAAGGCCCTCAAAGCACTGAAGTTTTTATTAATCAGGGACTTGCAGAGCTAATACTTAATGATGTATCATCTAAATATCCATGCACTAAACACCTCTTCCTCCCTACCTTTGGTTCTGCTGGCCACTTATTCATACCTTCCATGGGAGGGAAGATAAAATGATGTCAGGCCGGGCAAAAGAGAGCAGACTGAAATACAAATGGGTCATTTTGGTTTCTTGTCAACAGCTCTTGCACAAAGGTTTGGGGTGTGTGTGGAGGGGAGCGATGGGCTGAAAGAAACTGTCAGTATTTACCAGTGGAAGACACTCAGCACACCCTCCCCAAGGCCTGCCATAACCACAGGGGTCAGAGTTGGTTGTGGTGCCTACAGGATAAACGTCACTGAAACGTTGTGTCCACATCAGTCCCCGGGCTTGCAACCAAGAGATGAAAGCTCCCCAAACCCTGATGACGAGTTCTTCTCGGAAGAAGAATATGAAACCAAGCCTGCCCTGCCACTTATGCTACTTTGAATCTTTCTTCTGAACATGAAATGTTATTGTTAATATTTCTAGTTTTTCACCAAGCATATTAAATAACCCAGAGAGTTTAATAAATGTAGAAACACACCCCTACATGAACACACACATACACAGGGCTGCCTGCCCTGGGAGTCCTTTCAGCAGGGATCTCCCTGACTCGAGTTATTCTCAGAAGGAGCCAAGGACATGGATTTGGGAGTAAAGTCTGAAGTTAATAGGCTGATGCCATCTAAGATTAGCTTCTATGGCTGATTCTCACTCAGATACAGTGGTTGGAGCAAGATGCTGGTAGTCAGGGACAGTAGAGAGCCTGCTAGTTAGGAGGTTCAAGAGAAGTCTGGGCTTTTGAAGGAGTCCACTTTCCCAAAAGATTCAAAAATATTACTGTGACTGTTTTTTCCTGCTCAGAAGGGTGAACCTTTGTGTTAGGGAATAAATATTTTTGGAACACCTTCCTCAAAATACCCTTAAAATCCTGATGTATGTGGAATGTTGTGGAGATGCTCTGTATTTTGCAGCAGTTTCCTTCTTCCTAAATCTCCTCGGCCTCTCTCCCATAATGGAGGCTCATCTCATGCAGCCCTGTCTGCATAGGCCCACCTTTGACAAGGAGATACTGAAGGGAAGCCACCACTTATTCCAGACAACGATTAGAACTTCATTCAAGCTTTGTGACCTCACCTGAAACTGATGATGCCTGCTCAGGGTCACTGACGCTGCTTGTGACTTGGCTTTTGGAACCTCTGTCTTCGAGATCTGATATTTACGGAGTGTAAGGGCTCTGCTCTGAGCTTGTCTTCATAGGTCTGTGAAGAAGTAGCTCCCAGGACCCTTTATGGGAAGAAAAATGTTAGGATGAAAGACCTATTGAAAAGCCATTGCTGCTCTCACCTCCTGGGAGTACACATTAGGTCTTGTCCTAACAGGGAAGCTCTAGGACCTCTAGAGGCTGACAGAGCCAAATACTCACAAAAACTGAGTGATATGGAAAATATAGACTGAAAAATTCTTTGCTCTAAAATATCCAGATAAATGAGTGGTGCTTAACTGTTTATTAAGCAAGGGCCGTAGAAAATCCTGTCTGATCAACATTGTTTGGGAGTGGCCCTGCCCAAATACAAATCAGGAGGTGGAACTCTCAGCATCATCCTTTTGGGTCTTTGTGTCTGGTCCTGGGAAAGTGGCAGTAGCATATGCATTCTAGAATATATTTCCCTTGTCTTTCCTGTTCTACCCCTCACCCCATTTCCTCACTCATCCACCATGCCCTTCGCAAGAGGAATTCCTCAGTCCTGTGAGGCGTCATGGGTATGGTATACAAACTCCCTTATTAGAGTTTAGTAACCTAGCATTCGTATTTTCTTCAAATGCTGCAGTCAGCCTTGCACATCTACCAGGAGAGGTCAGAGTTCATCCTCGCTCACTTCCAGTTGGAGGCGAGGTCAGCTGCCAGCCACCATGGATGTGCAGGTTTGAGGCCTCTGAAGCCTGGGCTTGATGGCGCATCTTACCTGCTGACTCACCCAAGGGTGGTGAGCCCACCCACCACCTCACTGTCCCTGACCTACCATTTTGATTGGTGCATTTTTTGGTACAACAGGAAGTCATGTTCATGGCATACTCTACGAATGAGAAAGCGGGCGGAAGTGGAGAACACGGGTAAAAATGAAGCCACAGGGCCTCGTAAACCCAAGGATATTCTGGGCAACAAAGTCTCTGTTAAAGTGAGTAAGGTATTCCGGAGCTGCGTCCCCACCTGTCATCTACTCCCACCCTGTAGCATTCTCACAAGGCAATTTGGGTGGATGGGACATTTTTTTTTCCCAGTATGGGGACCAGAGGGGGAGTAGTTTAGCAGGATTTTGCATGCAAGATCAATTTATTTTTTATCTTTTATTTCTCCTGGCAACTTCGATTCAAGTAAGTACCTTTTTTTTTCTTTTATACCTTTCTCTTTATACTGTGCAGATGTTTTAGAGCAAAATTATCTGCAGCATTCTCAAAAATGTGAGATGCTTTATTCATATTAAATTTCTCAAAGCTACCATTTGGTACCCTAGGTTTGAGAATACACACAGGTTAGAGCGATTAGAGATGCCTTCCAAACCCCCAACCCTGTGAAGGCTGAGGTTTGGAATTTAAGGGCCACTGTATCCTTAGTAAACTTTCATTTCTTTTCCCCAGAGTTCAGACAACATCAACTTCAGGCCATTTTACTTGCCTTTCCCTATGTATGGACACAGTAGGGGCCACACTGGTGAGGCCCAAATTATTTCTTTATAATGATCCATCTACTACTTTGAACTCATGAATTCTAAGTTTGGCAGACTCTTATTTACACCCATCTTGAAACAATTTCATCTGCTTTCTTTAAATTGGATCCTCTGGAACGCTCTGCCTCTGGACAATGGAAATTAGACACTGATTATTATAGCACTAATTGTGCTGTAATGTGTGATCATCTGCCTGATCATCTACTTTGTTTCCCTTCCTTAGCAAAGTAAGAACAACTAAAACCCAGTCTAACATCCTTCTTGGGGAAAAGAAATTGTATGCCCTCCTTCACTCTCATCTGGGAAGTCCAACCCCACAGAGGACAGCAGTTTAAATTTGACAGCACTCATTCTCCATTATGCTTCCATTGCTGTTTCCCATGAGATTAGCAGTTGTACACAACCCGGCCTCCTCTCCCTGAAAAGAGCATGCTGCTGCCCCTGGTGATTCTCACCCCCACTTTAAAAACACCTGGTTTATTCTCTGCCCAATAACCCACTGCCCATGCTTCTCTGAAGTTCTCCTCTCTCTCTAGCAAAAGCTACTTGTGTTCTAACTGTGTTCTCTTTCTTCCCCCTTCCTCATGCTGCCAATCAAGGAGACGAACAGTTCCGAGGAATCAGAGTGTGATGATCTTGACCCTAATACTAGCATGGAGGTAGAAGCAGCTATTGTTGTCCTATTTCCTACAGTGATTGCCTTTTTTGATATGTCTATAACAGTGACCTTGCTAAAATGACCAGCCATTCAATGATAAATGGTAATGTTATGGGGGAGGGTCTCTGGGTATCCCATCCCAGCTAAAAAAGAAACAAACAAAAACGTAATTCTTGAATGCTTGTTAAGTATTTTCCTCTTTGGCAGGTTTGGCTTTATATAGAAAATATCCAATTTCATTATCTGAAACTTAGAACACTTTTTTTTCATAGAAAACAGCACTATCAGAATGTGTGAGTCCCAGCTAAGTGACAAGAACTCATTTTGTGTTTTCCCCTTCTTTTGTTTTCCCCTTCTCCCCTTCTTCTTCGTTCCCCCTTTATTCTCTTCATCTTGCTCTTCTACTCGGTTCTATGCCCCCGTTAATGTTCCAAAATAACCAGTGAATTATGGCACCTGGTTGCTATGTAGAGCTGATTTATAGCAAATGAGGTGTGATTGTAGCAACTCCAGAGCACACTTCAGTGCAGTGCTGGGCCTGTGAGCAGTGGCTGTGCCCACGTGTGAAGGGAAAGAAGCCCTGGGGAGGGCCTGTCTCCTGGAACCATGGCAGAGGCCTTTCCAGAGACGGTGAGATGGAAACACTGCCCAGGGGACTTTTCTCATGCTCCAGGTTTACAGGGATGTGGGAGTGAACCAATGCCTGTATCAATAAGAATATCCATTCCGCTTCCAATTCCTAGTCTGTTGGGTTACAGAAACATGGCTCTTACGTGGTTTGCCACTGAGTGACAACCATGATAAATTTACAAACCCTAGGCAATGAGGGCAAACATGGAGCTGACTTTCCTTGCCACTTTATCATTCATAGATTTTTCTCCAAATCTATGCCTCCATTCCCGGTAATGGGTATAAGTTTAGAGATTTAAGTACAAAATAGACAACATTTCTTAGAAAAATTTTTTCTTTGTATAGTCCCAAACGTTTCACTTAATTAAATGGACTTTTATTCTTATTCGAATTTGACCTAATCCCAAAGAAGTCCAGCACCATGTTATTTCAGCCACCACAAAACCCCAGAGAGACCATGAGACCTAAAAACTGGTAAGTCAGCTGCAGAAGGAGCCAACTGAGTTGAATCAGGCCCAAGGCAAACAGTTGACAGTGGGAGTTCTCCCAGGATAGAATAGTACCCTGTCAATGTGAGTATTGTCACAGAGATCAATCTGGTAGGTGTGGCTCAATATATACTCCACTATGGGAGAAAGTGGATATGGCATTTGTAGCCTAAATGTATCTTGGAGAACAAGGAAGCCAGGGGAAATGTCAGGCTCTGTTTTCCTTGCATTTCATAGGATAGGCATCTGCTTGCCTGGAGCTCACACCTGTCAGCTTGTAGATGCTGGGTGGCACCCCAGACTTAAGTGTTGCCAGCATGTATTATAGATGTCAGCTGCAAGTAGAGGAAGGGCACACAGAGGCAGGGGAAAAACCAGGCATTTGTGTTCCAGGAAACAGTTTAGGCCCTTGTCCAGTTCTCGTGGACTGGGGGAGAAGAGTGGTGTACCCACTCTGTAGGAAGAAATGGCACAGAGAGATGTGGGCCCAGGGGAGCAGCGCACATTAAGAAAATTAACTGGTGTCATTGAATGCTCTATTCTGCACTTAGATTAAAAGCGTGTGTGTGCACGTACACATCTTAACTCTGCTTTGCTAATTGAAAGCACATTTTAAAGATTCTTATTTGTCTACGGTTTTTAGTCCTTTGCATGGGCTGCGTGGGATGGGTCCTCAGGAGGTGCTAAGGAGTGCATGAACAAAGACATTAGAGTATTCATGCTGAACAGAGGAAAACCAAAAATTGTGTTGATGCATGTCCAAAAAGTTTTCAAATACAGGAGTTGAGCCACAAATTTTCCTTTAGGCACAAACTTTCAAGTAGCTGGAACCTCAAGGAGGCATGTTGTTGGAAGCTGCAAATGTCCCCAGCACATGCATATGCAACCCTTATGTATTCCATATATAGCCTTCTAAACTTCAGTGATTCTCTTTTGGGTTTTTCTTTAATGTGGAGCCTCTGTCACCCAGGCTGGAGTGCAGTGGTAGGACCTCAGCTCACTGCAACCTCTGCTTCCCTGGCTCAAGGGATCCTCCTGCCTCAGCCTTCTGAGTAGCTGGGACCTTAGGTGCACACCACCACGCCTGACTAATTTTTGTATTTTGGGTGGAGACAAGGTTTCACCATGTTGCCCAGGCTTGACTTGAACTCTGCCGGCCTTGGCCCCCCAAGAGTGCTGGGAGCCACTGCACCTGGCCTAAACTTCAGTGATTCTGTGAATGTGTTGCCCACTTCAAATTAATTTTGAGCACATGAGCAAGTCCAGAGGGAGAGCAAGCATCTTGGCACTGCTGGTTTGGCATTTTCAGACACAAATAAATAAGATACAGAAAGTCAACCTGTTCAACATGAGTTGAGAATTTTCTCAAGGCATATGTAAGTAGAATCTGACTGCAATGTACACTGCAGAGGAAGAAAATGGCCAGGAGTGCATACCGAAGAGAGAGGCTACCTTAAAGATCCATATTGAAATACAGGTGGGTGGGCCACCTCTTGAAGGCCTCTTACTACTAAAGTGATCATTTGGGGCATCATTTCCAGACTAAGCCTGGCCCCCAACCTCACCCTTGTCTTCTGAACTTGATGCTGCAACTGGCATTGTCTCTCTGGGAGTGTGTCCAGTACCCTTAGTGAGCTGAACCCTGTGCTGAGAGCGCCTCCATTCCTGGAACCCCAGCTGACCTAATGGGACCATGCACCCTGTGTGTTCACCCTGTGCTAGATCTCTGGATGTTAAATCCTGCCTCACTGACTGACTCTCCTTAACCTGAGGCCAGCCTGTTGATCCCAGTCCTAGCTGTGTATAGGCTGTTATCTCCTGCCTGCATGGGAATGATGTCACCAAAACATTCTAACTTTTTCGCAGTGGGTGGACTGAACAGTTCCTTTAAGGGAAGTCTTCTGGGGTCTTTACTTATACACTGGCTGCTTGCTACCTTCAGGCTGGCACGGTGTTTTGGAGCGATATATAGGCACATCCTTGAAAGCTAAGTAAGAGGAAAATAAAGCACCTTGAATCCTAGGAATCAGATATACAAAGCTTTCCAAGAATACCCAATTATGTAAAGGGAAGTAATTCTGCTCTAATGTTTACATCCTTTTCCTTCCCCGGCTTCTGAATGTTTTCAAGTACAGTCCCCCACTCCAGCAGTACATGCCACACCAGCACCATTGCAAGACTGGCTCTAGGTCTGTGCCATCCCCTCGCGGCCAAGTTTCCTGACGATCTGTGACTGTACCTCATGGAGAAAAGTTCTAAAGATGATGAGTATCATCCATAGTTGGGCTTACTTATTTACCTTGCACTGATGGAACTTTGGGGTAGGAGTGAAAGGCGGGCATCATACATGAAAGAGATGTTTCTACATGGAAGAAGAGTCAAACCAAGCTGAAAAGCAAACACGAGGGTGCCTTAGAAACAGGTTAATAGTAATTCATTTTTTTCCAGTACAGGTTAGACTGCCGAGTGCCTTTTGTAGGGCTGAGAACCACGTGCCAGCCCATCAGCTTCTTCAGTCTTGCCTCTGGCCCGGTGTCTGCACTGACACCCCAGGCTGGAGCCAGGCCCAAGTGTTCAGGGTCAGCTTCTGGGCTATACTAGATTTTTCTTAGGACCCAGGTGAGACAGGTTTCCACCTCTGAAAAGTTGTCTGAGGACTGTCAATGCTTGCTCGTGTTTTTGCACCTGCCCCCCAGCCCCAGCACTGCCACCTGCCTGCATACAGGATGGGGTTGAAAGACATGAATGAGCCTCCATGACTTAGGCCTTCAAGGATAAGGATTCTCAGCCCATTTTTACACCACGCTCAAGTAATGACAGGCATTTTAACTAAAGCAAAACAAAACCCAATACCTCTTATAGCAGAGAAAGTCAATTCATCAGAGTAAGAAGTTGTCATTTCAAAAAGACTTCACCTCCGCCCCAGCCGTTCAACGTGCTGTTGGTCTCATCCACAACACAGACTAAGTGCAGACGTTTTCCTCGGTTATATACCAGCCACCAGAGATTTATCTTAGGGAGTTAAAAACTGTTGGGATCTTCTAGGATAAGGCTCTGAAAGATGAGAGAAAGCGCTTGGGAAGGTGAAGCTGATTTTGGAGGAAATTTTCCACTGGAGTAAGAATCACACTTTTAGAGTCAACGGAACCTTGGAAACATTTAATTAATCATTTATTTTGTTGTTGTTGTTGTTGTAGTAAAATATACATAACAAAAATTTGCCATGTCAACCATTTTTAAGTGTGCGATTCAATGGCATTAAGTCTCCTCACAATGTTGTACCACCATCACCACTATCCACATCCAGAACGTTTACATCATCGCAAACAAATTCTTTAGTGAACCCACCAAACGAAAACGCCCTATTCCTCTCCATCCCTGCAGCCCCTTCACCTTTAACAGAGCCGCAGGAACTTGTGCTTTTCTGTTTGCAAACTAGAAGTTGCTCTAGTTTCTGAGGCAGCTTCTGGCTTTCCTGATTACTATTCCCCCACCTACATCATCCTGCGGCAACTTGGAGTGCCCCATCTCCAGGTTGGTTTTAATCTAAAACACAGATCCTAGCAGTTGAGGAGACCTGTCTCTTAGTGCCTGTTTTTCTGCATAAGTGTGTCATTCCATTTTCCAGCTCAATAAAAAAGAATATCATTTCTGCCCATCTTAGCTTTCCAAGGCTGAAGTGCAATTTAAACAAAAATCACACAAAAGCAGTATCACATGAAAAACTGGAACCGGAGTCAAAAACCTGGATTCTAGTTTGGACACCACCAGCTATGTGACTGTGGGCCAGTTAGCCTTTCTAAGCCTCAAGATCCCCTGGAAAGTTGCACAGCTCCAAGTGTACAGGTGTTTATACAGTGATATGTAACCCTTTGAGCACCAT